CAATCCCCTGTCACAGAAAGACAGGAGACAGGAAATGAGGGAGAGTGTGCAAAAAAAAAAAGAACAAAAAAAGGCAGGTAGGTGTGTGTGCATGAATACCAAGGAGTCTGCACGACTAACTTGCCAGATACAGAAAGAAGAAAGTAATTACCTAGGTATTTCAGTCTGAGGCCAGAGAAGGTCCTGACACACTGACACGAGTTCATGTCATTGTTACAATGAGCCACAACAGATGTGTATGCTCTGAGCACGACGGTGCAGAAAATGAGCACCGTGAATACTCACTAAAAGTTAATATCCTGTCACAGCTTACTCATCAGTTTCATTCTGGTGCCTTTTAAAACAGGGATCGTGATTCGATTAATTGTACAGAAACAATTCATTCACAGCAATGAGCCATACAGAGCAACAATGTGTTTATAAAGAGAATCAAACTAATATCAAGTTACTGATAAGAAATCAGACAACAAATTAAAAAATATCCTCCATTAATCAAATCATAGGACTTCAGTTTACTTGAACAGTTTCCAGTAAAGTTGGCCAACACAGGGCAACTTAAAATGTACCAGAGAAAATTAGACCAAACATTTATTAATTTTCCAAATATTTAATAAAATTAAATTCTCAAGAATCTGCCTTCAAATATTTATAATAAACAAAAGCAGCATGCACATATCAGGGAGTCTGTGTGATGCCATACCTCGTGCAGAAAGCTTCTTAGTGTTGATGATTTTTGCAGCGTACTCCTGTCCGGATGACTTCTTTACACACCTACGCACCACTGAAAAAGCTCCCCTAAGAACAAAGAAAATAAACAAGAAAAATTAGTTCCTTTTCACATGCTTTCTCTCACACGTACAGAAAGTGTGACATTGAAAATGGCAAACAACTTATGCGGCAGTGGTCTGTGTATGAAACTCTTGATCAAGATTTTTTTAATTAATTACTGTCAAGGCTAGAAAAAGAGCAATCAATTGGCCAAAACTGGCCACTTTAAAAACTTCAGCCCTGCCTGTATGTACATAGTAAAAGCTTCATGTTTCTACTTGGTTATAGATTAAGAATATGCAAAACACAGTCACACAGTTTAGTATTAATAAGAAAGAACGTTCTTCTACATTTGTTTTAGAGTGTAAACTTTTTTTCTAAGGGTCATCAAAATCACGTTTATATAAATTAAGCAATTATAGCCATATTGTAGTCAATGAAAAATACATATTGACTAATAAAAGACGTTATTGTTGTACATCGTCATCAGCTGCCCTGATTTCTAAAGACTAACAATATAAACAAATCATATTGGTCGACCTCTAGATAAGGCATATGTGTCAAACTCAAGGCCCGGGGGCCAAATGTGGCCCTCGGTGACATCTTATCTGGCCCCCCAAGATGCCATTTTAAATGTAAAATACTTCTATCTCTTGAATTGTTTCAGTAATCTTTGATTATGATGTTTAAAGCACAACAGAGAACATCAAATGAGACCAGTCAAACTATTGTTGAGGAACCTGTGACCAAGACAAGATGTTGGGCATCTGATTTGAGTTAATGTAGTTTCTGAAATTGGCCCTTAGTTTGAAAGGTTTTTGTAAGTGAGATTGACACCCCTGAGATAAGGCATTAGTCTAGGCCAGGGCTAATCAACTAGTGGCCCAAGGGCCAAATCAGGCCCATAGGTGTGCTCAGTTCAGCCCACCAATGAGTTCATTTTTAAATAAAACTCCATTTTAAATCATAAAACAAACTTACTTAATGAGAATAACTGCTATCTGCCTGGCCCCTGAACTCTTGGCTTTCAATCACTGTGGCCCTGTGAGCAATTAAGTTGAATAGACCTGGTCCAGGCCATCAGTTCCCGAAGCTGAGGCCGAGAACCCATTTTAGGTCATAAAACACAAAGTGGAAGTCGTAAGATCTCTAGTACTTAAATTTGGCAATAAATAAGGCTTTTTGTTATAATTGAGATAAAAAATAATAATTAAAAAAAGAGAGTAAAAAAAATAAAATAAAAAAGTAATAGGGTTGTGTCTTTGTCATTACGTCATTGTTTAATTGAATTAGAGAGGTTCATATGTTTTAACCAGCCACAGTTGGGGTCACAAATCTCTTCCAGTGGTACGTTATGGGTCCAAAGCTGAAATGTTTGGAAACCACTGGTCAAGGAAATGTGAAAAACTGAGAACCAGTATATGTTAAGTTCTTCAATAAGGAATAAATGGCTGGGTACTGTTATTGATCTTATGCACACAAATTTAAACTGCAGGAATAAACATAACCGAAAAAACTGCTACTCTGAAGAGTTTCACGTGGACATAGATGAATGCTCTCCATGTTACGCTTGAGATTTGGAGCATTTTTAGAAAAGGTAATTACACTTTATTTCTGCAGCAGCCTGTACATCCTGCAAGTTTTCAATCTTCCAGTTTTCCTGACAAAAAAAAATGCTTTTTTTTTTACACTCCTGATGATACATGAAGCGCTGCTACTGCACTCTGCTCCTCCTGCGACTCCGCTCTTAAGTTTCAATTATTTAACAGCAAACGAGAGGTGACAGGTGACACAAGTATAAGTCGGTGCTTGGATGTTAACAACCTATGACGGAGCAAAAATTCATTAACAGACGGGCGAGGAAACAAAAGTAGAGCCAAGTCACGAGGAGAATCAGGAGGAGCGGAGGCCAGATTCACTTTGGAGGATGTGCAGGTGTGTACTGGCATTGCAAACAGTGCCATTGATTTCTGTCAATTATAAAGGATAAAGTGGAAATGGCAGCTGGAAATTAAGGGCAGTATATCTTTGTAGGACCAATGCAGCCCTGCTGCTGCTGATTAAGGGGCAGCTTTTATGGCCAAGAGCAAAAGATACATGAACACTGTCTGGACTCTGGTTTGCTCGCCAATCTAACACAAAAATCTGGATGCATGCCATCAAATTTTGTGAGCTGCTAAAAAAATTAATCTGCTGCAATTAAAACATACATTTCTATAAACACAACTATTAAAATAATACAAAAAACACAATTAGCAGCACCAAAGCACCCTTGTTCCTAGCCTGTTAAAATATTTTTGTCCCATATCTTGTTCTGTAGCTTCAAATTATGCAAATTGTACACAAAAACATATTGATGCATGCTCAACAATCCACGTAGATAAATCTAGGTCTGCTGGACGGATTCTTCTTTGTTGAAACATTTTTTTTTTATCCAAAAGACTTCAGTCTGAGGAGCTGCAACAAACTCAGTCTTATGAATAGCACCTTCTCATAGTGGATCAACCAGTTTACTGGCGACAGCCAAAACTAGTTATTCACATGCAAAAGGAGGACCATCAGTCTAACAACTGATCGTAAGCGCCCTGATGGCTGCTGGCTATTCAGAGCAGGCTGAGTGATGCTAGCAATAACAGAATTATAAGGTGACACTTGAAACCAAAGGTCTCTGCCCCTTTTTAACGATGGACGGTTTCTCTTCACAAAGATGGCTTCCTTCACTCCTCTCTCAAACCAGTGTCCCTCTGTATCAAGGATGTGGACATCTTCATCCCCGAATGAGTAGGCCTATCACGATAACAAATTTTGTTGGGCAATTGTCTCAGAAATTATTGTGATAAATGATAATCCATCCATCCATTACCTTTTACCCACTTCTTCCATTTTGGGTCACGGGGGTCGCCGATGCCCATGTCCAGCAATCAATGTGCGAGGGGCGGGGTACACCCTGGACAGGTCGCAAGTCCATCACAGGGAAACAGAGACAAACAACCATTCACCCTCTCACTCACACCTAGGGACAATTTAGAGTTACCAATCAGCCTAAAATGCATGTTTTTGGTCTGTGGGAGGAAACCCGAGTACCC